GCCACAAATCCTGAGGAATCCCTAGGGAATCCTTTGCAAGCCTATAGGGAATCCTTAGGAATCCAACGGGAAATCTTTAGGAATCCCTATAGGGAATCTTCAGGAATCCTTCGGAAATCATTAGGGCTCCCTGTAGGGAGTCCGCAGGAATTCCCAGGGAATCCTTCAGCAAGCCTTCAGGGATACTTCGGGATCCCGAGTGAATGCCAAAGGAATCCCTAGGAATCCTTAAGGGATCCATAGGAATCCCTAGGGAACCACCCAATCTTTTAACCTCTGACGTTTCAGCGGAGTTTGGAGTGTCTATTTTTGGGCTCGGCCAAGGATTCGGCGAGCGCGCCAAATCTATCAGTATTTATTTGCTCGAACCAGTTTCTATTTGTTTTGATGAGTTTCTACTTTCAACCCAAGGAAAGTGCAACGCGTATCTATTTTGAAATAAGAAACGTGTCTATTAGTGTCTACTGTTCATAAAAAAAGCTGATTCCGTATCTAAATTTGGTAACAGTATCTATTTTGCGCGTGCCTATATTCATTTGGTCACACGAATTACAGATCAAAACAACATAAACATAGACTCGCGTGTTGCGCGCTCCGACTCAGATGCGTTGCGGTTTCGCCATAGCAGGCGCGCACCAAAGATAGACACTACCAGTATCTATTTTTTGTCTACTAGGGTTATCGATCCGGATCCATCCGTGATGGCTCTTCCTCCTCCTCCTCCTCCTCCTCCTCCTCCTCCTCCCCCTCCTCCTTCTCCTCCTCCCCCTCCTCCCCCTCCTCCTCCTCCTCGTCCTCCTCCCCCCCTCGCTCCTCCTCCTCCTCTCCTCCCCTCCTCCCTCCTCTCCCTCCTCCCCTCCCTCCCTCCCCCCTCCTCCTCCTCTCCTCTCCTCCCTCCTCCTCCCCCTCCCCCCTCCTCTCCTCCTCCTCCTCCTCCTCCTCCTCTCTCCTCCTCCCCTCCTCCCCCTCCTCCCCCTCCTCCCCCTCCTGGCGAAGACGCCCGGTGCGAAAAGAGTGCGACGCCAGGAGCTCAGGGTGCGAGCGGCCGCGGCGGGCTGCTCCGACGAGGCCCCGGTCGTGGGCCGCGGGGGACCTCGTGGCGCGCCTTCCGGCAGGGCTGCCAGGGGGCGCCCAGCCTCCCAGAGGCAGCCCAGGACGCCCCTGAGCTCAAGTCGGGCACGTCCCTCTTCAAGAGGAATATGCAAACATAGAAAAAAACAAATAATGTGGGGAAGATTGTGTGACTATGTTCGACCCTTGCGAGGTATTTTTATTTTCGTCCAGAATCCGCAACGCCCGACCTAACCCTGAACGAACGACCCAGGATGGCGTCAATTTGGCGGCCACCCTCACGTCGCCTCCGCTGTATCTTTGGTTGATTCTCAGACCGGAGGAGTGGTGCTGGGAATGAGCCCCGAGCGATGCGAAGAAGCGGGGCGGAAGTTTGCCGCTGCAGGAACAGTAGAGCGGAGGGCTCCGCAAAAGTATGGCGGGCACAGCGGCGGCCAAGCAGGGCGGACATCGACATCAGGCAGGCTTGACCAGCAGGGCGGGAACCTCCGTCCCACAGGCGAAATTGCTCAAAACACGACGGATCCGAAGTCGGGGCGGAGCAGCCACAGGATTCACCAAGCGGAGGCCTACGAGGGCCCAGCGCACGTCGAAATCCGCCGTCTCTGCTTTCCAAGGTGCGCGTGCCGTTTTCCGCTTCGCGGCCCCAGCGACGCTGCAGGCGCGACCCGGAGGCCTCCAAACGAGCCCCACGGGCCCACAGTCGGCCCCACAGGAGCACCCCCGCCGCCGCCCAAAAAAGGTGCAGGTTGGCCCAGGTGGCCTCCTTTGATGGCCGCCATGCTGGTCCAAGACGGCACAGGACAGCCCGAAGATAGCCCCCAGATCCCCCCGACGAGCCTCAGAGCCCCAAGACGGCAGCGTCAGCCTCCAAGGACCATTCGGATGGCTCCAGAAGCCCAAAAGAGCGCCCCAAGAGAGCACTGAAAAGAACCAGCTGGCACCACAGAAGCCCAACATAGCCCCAAAATATGCTCCAAGAGGGTCCCGGGGCGCCCCAAGATGGCCCAGGCTGCCCAAAGAGGTCCCCAGACGTGCTAGATCCCAGCGGCAGCAGAGCCAGCAGCATCAGTCAGCAGCAGCAGGAGCAGCCCTGATCAGCCAGCCAGCAGCAAGCAGCATGCAACAGCAAGCACAATCAGCCAGCATGTGCAGTAGTAGTCAGGAAGTCCAACAGCTGGCAACAGCAGCAGCAAGCAGCACCACGTGTTCGAGGGCTGAGGAAAGTTCCACTGACAGTCCAGGTGGCCGTGTAGCACGCTGCAGAGATCTCAAGGAGCCCCAGGGCAGCCCTTCAGGCAGGCGAGCACACGCCAACACAGACAACAAGGTAACTACCCTGAAATAATCGATGTCTGGCTGAGCTGTTCTAGAGGAACAGGTCGCCTGCGGAATGCTTCACAGGTCTGGTCTAGCCTCTTCGACAAGTCTGGCTGCAGCGCGTACGAGGGATGTGACCAGCACCCCCTGGCCTGAGAGGAGGCCAGGTCGGCCGGCTGGTCCCAGGACGGTCCCAGAGGCACCGGAGGCGACGATGGGGGCGAATAGCCCAGGGGCGGGCATCACACGTATGCGCCCAGGAGCCTCGCCGAAGGCATGGAGCATCGGCGCACATGGACACATGGACTGCCCTCCCCCTGGGCTATTCGCCCTCATCGTCGCCCCCAAGGGCACCTGTCTTTCAGCCAGCGCGGTCGCAGGCCCACCAGGCTGTGTTTCACGCTTCGGCGGCCCGTCGCGGACCCAAAGCAGCAGTCTTGGACGCTCCGAGTGCCTGGGAAGCTCAACTTTGGGGCAGCGCCGCCGTAGGCCCACCAGAATATGTTTCACGCTGCGAGGGCACCGCATGCGTGTCTTCAGTGGAGGCGCCGCCCTCACGATCAAAGATCGCGAAGAATTCGGGATCCAGGGGGGCAGGTGGACGAGGAGGAAGGGAGAGGTGGAATGGGAGGGGGAGGAGGAGGAGGAGGAGGAGGAGGAGGAGGAGGAGGAGGAGGAGGAGGAGGAGGAGGAGGAGGCGGAGGAGGAGGCGGAGGAGGAGGAGGAGGAGAAGAAGGAGATGGAGGAGGTGGTGGAGGGGCAAGAGGGCGAGGAGGAGGAGGAGGATGAGGACGACCACGACGATGAAGACGACGCGAGCCTTGCAGACGAGCATTCGTGGGCGTAGTCCATGGGTCAGCCCTAGTCAGCTACAGCTCTGTGATCAGCTCGTGCGAGAAGGGCGGGCAGTGGCAGCGGGCCTTAGCGCTGCTTTCCGAGATGCTAGGGGCGAAGCTGGAGCCCAACACCATCAGCTACAGCGCTGGGATCAGCGCGTGCGAGAAGGGCGAGGAGTGGCAGCGGGCTCTTGGGCTGCTCAGCGAGATGCGGGAGGCAACGCTGGAGCCCAACGCCTTTCTCACGCCACAGTGCCGGGCGGCGCGCGTGCCGGACGGGAGGGGTAGGGGCTCGCTGCCGACGGCCCCCCCCCCCCCCGGGCCACTGGCAGGGAGCGCTCCGCTCCTGAGGGGGCGACGCCGCCCCGGGCGCCCAGACCAACCCCAAAGAGCGGTCAAGAACGGCCCAAGACGGCCCCAAGACGGTCCGAGCTGCGCCCAAGACGGCCCCACACGGCCCCAAGACGGCCCAAGAGGCACCTCAGACGGCCCAAGAGGGACCCAAGGGATTCCCGGGAGGCCGGAAAGAGGCCCCCAAACGGCCCCCAAGAGGCCCTAAGTGGCTTCCACCTTGCCTCTAAGAGACCCCAGATGGCGCCATGAGGGCCCCACACGGCGCAATGAGGGCCCCAGACGGTCCTTGCACGCTCCGGGAAGCCCCACAGAGCGTCCACGAGGCTCTTCAAATGGGCACGACACGACCCAGGCGAGCGCCAAGGCGCTCCGAAAGGCCTCCAAAAGGCCTCACAAGAGGGTCCCGCGAGGTCAAAATCGTTTGTTGTCCTAGGCTTTTCCAAAGATTTCCCGCTTGCCGCCAATTCAGCTTTCGGACACTCGAAGCAGGCCTGGAAGACTTCAAGGCCACCCCAAAAGGACCCAAAAGCCACCAGGAGGCTCCCAGGAGGGCCCCAAGACGGGCCAAGACCGCCCCAGCACGGCCCAAGGCGCGCTGAAGACGGCCCAAGACGGCTCCAAGACGGCTCCACGAGGGTGCCAACACGGCCCCAGACGGGCCCAGCACGGCCCAAGGCACGCTCAAGACGGTCCCAGGAGGGTGCCAACATTGCCACAGATAGGCCCAGGACGGCCCAAGGAGGCGCCCAGTCGGGGCCTCAAGACGGGCCAAGATGGGAAGAGAGCCCCAGCTGGCAAAAATTGTTTATTTTCCATTGTTCATTGTTACAGCCTTCGCGTTTCCCACCATTTCGGCGGTCGGATGCCCCAAGAGGCCCCAGAAAGTCCCAGGAGGGTCCGAGGACACGCCCAGGAAGGCCCCACGACGGGCCAAGACGGCCCCAGCACAACGCAAGGCGCGCTGCGACGGCTCAAGACGGCTCCAAGACAGCCCCAAGAGGGTGCCAACGCGGCCCCTGCTGGGCCCAGGACGGCCCAATGAGGCGCACAGGAGGGGCCCAAGACGACTCGAAGGCGGCCCCCTCACGGCCCCAGACGGCTCCAAGACAGCCCCAAGATAGTGCCAACAAGGACCCCGATGGGCCCAGGACGGCCTACGGACGCGCCCATGAGGGGCTCACGACGAAGCAAGACGGCCCCATCACGGCAAACGGCGCCCTCAAGACGGGCCTAGACGGCTCCAAGACGGCACTTTGAGGGAGCCAACACGGCCTCACACCCTTCGGGCGAACACTTGGGGGCTGGGAGCTTGCGACAAGTCTCCCACATTCATTGTCCTGCCCCATGCTGTTCGCCTGGAGGCCTCCGCCAACCCTGTGGGCGAACAAGAGGAAACCCAGCGGGCCGCCAACCCTGGGGCCCGTGGGCCCCGCGCCGCTTGGGCAGAAGACGAACGCCGGGTCTGACAGGCCAGCTACCGCCCCCCTTGCCCCGATATGCTGTGCCATTCTGTTCCCCCAGGGGCCTTGCCAAACTGTTCGGGCCAACCAGACTGGAGCCCGGGGACAGCAGCCAATTGATATGACCCAGGCACCTCTCCGCACTCTTCGGACCACAGACCCTCTGGGCGAGCAGAATGGGACTTGGCGAACAAACCCTCCCGTTGGCGGCGATGCGACTGGCTCACACCATCAAGGCGTGCCCAGAGGTGATGGCCGACCCAACAGCGATGTCTGTTAAGATTTTACTGAATTTCGAATTTTCTTTAAGCTCTCTGAGGGCCCTCCCTGTAGATCCTTGCGCTCCCCGGCGCTTTCGGTGGTTTTCCCCGATGGCCTCCCGAGCCCTTCCCCAGGCGCTCCTGAGACGCCTCAGATGGGCTTCGACTTCGACGCACATCCCCGAGAGACTTCGAAACTGCCCTCAATAGGAGGGGGGTGAACGAGCAGTGCGCTGGGGCCAAGCTGCTGGAGCGCTGCAAGAGCTCGGACACGAAGGCGCGGTCTCGCTGCCGCCGCCCTAGCCGCCGCCATGTTCGTAGATTTTCGGTGCAATCTGCGCCGTTCCTCCGAGAACCATTCCAGAAAGATGTCGTGGACGGAGTCCACGGGTTAGCCCTAGTCAGCTACAGCGCTGGGATCAGCGCGTGCGAGAAGGGCGAGCTGTGGCAGTGGGCTCTGGCGCTGCTCGGCGAGATGCGGGAGGCGATGCTGGAGCGCGACGCCTCTTTTACTCCGCGGTGCCGGGCGGCGCGCGTGCCAGAGGAGGAGGAGGAGGAGGAGGAGGAGGAGGAGGAGGAGGAGGAGGAGGAGTGGGGAGTCGCTGCCGACGGCCGCTGGGCTCCCGGCAAAGAGAGCCCTGCGGGCCGCTCCGCACCCCGAGGGGCGACGCCTCCCCGCGGGGCGCCCAGGCGCTTCCCGGGTGGTTTCCACTCGGCCCCGTACAGACCCATCGACCGCTGGAAGCGATTCCCTCGTCGGCGTCGTCGTCGTCGTCGTCGTCGTCGTCGTCGTCGTTGTCGTCGTCGTCGTCGTCGTCGTCGTCGTCGTCGTCGTCGTCGTCGTCGTCGTCGTCGTCCGGCGGCTCAGCGAGGCGCGGGGGCTCCCAGATGTCTAACCTGCTTCAGGGGCCTTCTCTTGAGCCTCGAGCAGCGTTCCCTCTTCCTGTCTCCAACCGGGGCGGCGGAGCCCCAACCTGCTCGCATCGCCTTGCTGCTGCACGTGTCCACCCGTTTCTTCCGACCCGTGTGTGTGTCGGCTACACGTGCGCGGCGCCAAAAAAGCGGGGTCGCCTGCGCCGACATCGGCGCGTGAGCTTCCCGCGAAAGGTCGCGCGTAAGCGCCCTCGTCTCCAATGTGGCGTGTCCCCGCGTAAGCCACCGCGGAAGGTCGCTGTGCCATCTCGCGTGAGACCCGTTTCGCTCCGTCGCTCACGTGTTCAAGAGTGACCTTTCGCCAGAGCGACCACGGGCGCGCGGTAGTCGGCGGGTGCGGGGGTGCCAGACCCAAGCGCACAGGCCACCACGGCCGCAGCGCATGCGTCGGCGGGCAAGCCTGGCGCGAAAGGGCCGCTCTTGCCCAGGGCCACCGCCAAGGTGCGCGCGAGGGCCTTCCAGACCGGCCCGAGGACCCTCCCGCCGAGGACCCCCAGCAACGGATTCGCCCCGAACCGCTTGGCTTTTCCACGTTTCTTGCGTCCCGCGTTTTCCGTCGCACCTTGCTCCGTCAGTGCCTCGGCAGTGCCTCGGCAGCGCCCCTCGGCGCGGACCCGCCTCCCAGCCGGCCCCAGGAGGGCCCCCAGGGCGATTCAGAAAGCTCCCAGGCACGGTCCAAGACAGCCCCAGCGGCTCTTCGGACAGACCGAGAGATGGCCTCAAGGCGGTCCCAGGAGGCCCCCAAAACGGTCGAGAAGGACGGCCCCAAGGCGGCCCAAGACCGCTCCAAGATGGCCCCAGTGTGCACCCCGACAGGCCCCAGACCCTCCCCCCAACAGTTGCACCCAGAAGCCGCAGATGAGGCCCCTAGCAAGCCCCGAGCTGGCGTCCAAAAGGCCCCACGAGGAACCCAAGAGGAGCCGTATGCTCGGCCACGCGCGCGTCGAGCCCACTGCACGCCGCAGTGCCAAGGCGCATCGCTCAGCAGCACGCAACGGACAAAACGAGCCAATAGCTACAAGATATAACAACTCTCTCTCTCTCTGTCTGTCTGCCTGCCTGCCTGCCTGCCTGTCTGTTTGTCTGTCTGTCTGTCTGTCTGTCTGTCTGTCTGTCTGTCTGTCTGTGTGACTGTCTGTTTTGTTTGCTTATATGTCTGTTTGTCTATGTGTGTGTGTGTGTGTGTGTGTGTCTGTCTGGCTGTCTGTCTGTCTGTCTGTCTGTCTGTCTCTCTACATTAATATGGGGCGCCCCAAACAGCCTTACCTTCGAGGATCGAAGGAGTTGTCATCTCTTCCGCGGCGGAAGGCGGCGGAAGTGAAACGAGGCCGCCTTCGCCAGCGGCGGAAGGCTGGCGGGAGGCTGGCGGAAGGCGGCGGAAGTAAAGCAATGCCTTCCAAGAGATGATCACGTTTTTGGTTTCAGGGTTTCCGGAAGTCGCCATATATATGTTTATATAAACACATACATACATACATACATACATACATACATACATACATACATACATACATACATACATACATACATACATACATACATGCATGCATGCATACATACATACATACATACATACATACAGACAGACAGACAGACATACATGCATACATACATACACACATATATATATATACTTACATACATCAGATCTGCCGAAGCAGACAGCATGTTCAGACATGCGCACATACATCAGGTGCGGCAAAGAAGGACCCATCATTCGTACACGGCAGGCAGCGGCAGCGAGCGGACGGGCAACACACTGATGGAAACAAAACAGGCATCAGGCGGTCATGGCCAAAACTATCGGGCCACTCGGCGACCCGGACGGTGGACGGTAAGCCACGGGTCAGCCTTGGTCTCTAATAGGTTGCAGTCAGCTACAACGCTGGGATGAGCGCGTGCGCGAAGGGCGAGCAGTGGCAGCGGGCTCTAGCGCTGCTCGGCGAGATGCGGGAGGCGAAGCTGGAGTCCAACGTCATCTTTATTGCAACGCTGGGACCAACGCGTGCGAGAAGAACGTTTAATCCCAGACGGCCCAATACGGCTCCGCAGGGCTCCATGTTGGCCAAGCCAGGTTCCAGACGAGCCCAAGGCAGGCAAAAACGCCCCAGAGCCTTCGTGGACGTGCCAGGGCCAAGGTGGCCCGAAGAGGCCGCAGGATTGTACAGAGCGCCGCAGGGCGAACGCTCCTGAATCCTGGGTAAGAGATCAAACATGTGTGATAGTTTCCATTTCTCGGTTCGGATCTGAGGATTGGCCCCAGATTGCTTCCGAGATGGCCCAGGGCGGCCAGAATCCGCCGCAGATGCCCCCCCAAGAGCCACCCAGACGCCCCCAGACATTCAAGAATGCCCGCGAGCCCCTAGAATCCCAACGATGGCCACCGGACCCCCCCCCCAGGAGGGCCCCGCGAGAGCCAAAGACGGCTTCGAGCTAGCCTCAAGAGGGCCCTAGACGGCCTCCAGACCGTCCGGAAGCGCCCCAGCCAGTCGCGGCCACGTTGCCGCCGCCGCGTGCAGTTGGAAAGCCAGCTGTGTTGGCCGAGCCAAGGAGCTCCCCGGAGCGGCGCGATGACCTTTCTGGCATCGGCAGCGTGCGGTGTCTCTGCGAGCTCTCGCCGGCGCCGCCTCCACAAGAGCCTGGGGCCCTTGAGGCACGGTGCGGCACGGGCCTCTCTGCCTCGGGCGAGCTGCGGAGGCCCTGGCGGGTCCCTGCGCAGCCTCGAGGCACCCCGCAGAGGCTCGCGCCGACGGTCGCAGGGCGCCCCAGGACGGCCCCGGCCAAGGGAGGGCCGAGGAGGAGGAGGAGGAGGAGGAGGAGGAGGAGGAGGAGGAGGTCCCGAGGACGGCAGCCGAGGAGCCCAAGGGGGCCCACAGAGGGCCAACGAGCCGCACCGCGAGGAGAGAGAAGCGCCGTGCACGTCAGAGGTGCGATGGTACATGAGTGAAACAGCAAGTTCCGCTGCCGGAGGCGCGGCTGCGAAACAAGAAGACGCCGTGCAGACACCGACAGCGACGACGGCGGCGGCGAAGGGGGGGGGAGGACGACGAGGGGGAGGAGGACGAAAGCGAGGAGGAGGGCGAGGAGGAAACAGCACTGGCAGGCTTCAAATGAGGTGCGGAGAGAGGCCACAGAGCAACCGTCAGTACAAGAGCGTGCCTCATTCTTGTGGATTCCAGCTTTCCAGGCTGGTCGGCCAACGAGTGCCTCGAGAGGGCCTCGCGCTGCCTCGGAGTCCCGCAGGGCAGTCCCACGGGAGCTCCCAGAGGGCCCCTCGGCAGCCGCCAGCAGCATGCAGCACCGACAAGCACAAGCCTGCAACCTAGCTGCCTGGTGCAGCACGGAGCAACAGCAAGGGGAGGCATCACACAGCAGCAGCAGCAGCAGCAGCAGCAGCAGCAGCAGCAGCAGCAGCAGCAGCAGCAGCAGCAGCAGCAGCAGCATCAGGACGCAGCAGCAGCAGCAGCAGCAGCAGCAGCAGCAGCAGGACGCAGCCACAGCACGCAGCAGCAGCACACAGCAGGCAGCAGCTGTGCAATCTCTGGCACCAGTCTCCGCAGGCAAACAGAAGCGGCAAGAGGCAGCGCCTTACAGCAGCAAGCAGCAAGCGGAAATGCAGCAGCACAAAGTAAGCAGCAACAGCAGTGGCGGCACTCGGCAGCAGCAAGCAACAGCATGCAGCTGGGCAGCAGCAGCCTGCAGCAGCAAGCAGCGAGCATAATTGGACACAGGCAGCACTCACCACAATCAGGAGCAGCAGGTGGCAGCGGCAAGCCTTGCAAGCAGCACGCAGCAGCAGGCGCCCAGCATTAACTGGCGCCACGCAGCAGCGCACGTCAGCACACACACACACCAGTCCGTATCAGCGAGAAGCAGCAGACGTCATACAGCAGCCGCGGCGGCAAGCGACACCCAGCATCCGCAAGCGGCAGCGAGCGGACAGGCAAGCAAGCAAGCAATCAAGCAAGCAAGCAAGCAAGCAAGCAAGAGTTAACGGGCGAATAACGGTATACATTACGTTGTTTCGCCGTCGGGGGCGCTTCCTGCAGGGCGGCCAGATGTTCAAAACCCCTACGGTGGCACGTCAGGGTATTCCTGCCGCCCTGGGACAGGCGTCCCCGACGACAAAACAGCTTATCTGATACCGTGCTTCACCCGCACGGCAGACCACCAGGCTGGCAGCCACGCTAGCAGCAGAACAAGCAAGCAGTCAAGCAGGCCAGCGGTTCTCACGCTTGCATGCGAAGAAGTTTGCGTGCATGGTCGTCCACGGGCTTGCCCTCTAGTCTCTACTACATTGCAGGGCCCAGTGCGTGCCAGAAGGGCGCAGGCCCCAATGCACCGAAACCGCCCCGGGCTGGCCCCGGGCCGCCCCGGGCCGCCCAGGCAGGCCCCAGGACATGTCGAGAGGGCCCCCAGAAGCCCCCAAGACGGCCCCGGAGAGCCCCGGCACGCTTAAAGATGGGCCCAAGACGCCCGAGATTCGCCCCAGGCGGCCCAAGAGGCGTCCAAGACGCCCGAAGAGGCCTCCCAAGAGGCCTCCCAAGAGGGCCCCGAGCGACAGAAATCGTCGATTTCTACTGTGTTTTTCGATGTTTTCGGCCTCCTCGCCTCGTCGGCTTCCCGACGCTCCAAGACGGCCCAAGAAGCCCCCCCGACCGCTCCAAGACGGCCGAAGAGGACCCCAAGAGAGCCCCAAGACGGGCCAGGAGGGCCCCCAGACGGTCCCAAGACGCCCCAGGACGGCCCCAGGACGGCCCAGGAGGCGCCCAAGACGGCCCAAGAGGCACCCAAGACGACCCCAGGAGCGGCCCAAGACGGCCCACGACAGCCCAAGAGGCGCCGAGGCGGGTCTCAGACGGCCCCAAGACGGCCCAAGAGGCACCCAAGACGGCCCGAGAGGGCCCTAAGAGCCCCCCCGGGAGGCCCAAACGAAGGCCGAAGAGGCTCCGAAACGGCCCCCACGAAGCCTTCAGTGCCTTCAGCATTCCCTCCAGGAGCGGGGGAGCGGACGAGAGGCGACAGGCATATCGCAGGCAAAAACGCCCCAAGAGATCCCCAAACGGCCCCCACGAAGCCCTAAGTGGCTTCAGAATTGCTTCCAGGAGGGGGGGAGCGGACGAGAGGCGACCGGCATATCGAAGGCACAAAAGAACAACTCTCCGAGGGCCTTCGATGTTTCTCCGTTGGGGAGAGTCGTCGTAGGATCGACGATTGCCGACCGAGGGCAGCGAATCCAGTGGAGGCCCAAGAGGCCCCCAGGAGCCCAAAAGAGATCCCCAAGAGGTGCCACCACGGGGCTTCGAAGCGAGGGGGGCGGACGAGGGGACCGCCTCAGGAAGTTTTGGACGGTTTTGGGCCTCAAAATCGTCCGCTTTACGACGGTTTTGGAAGGATTTTGGCCTTCTCGCCTTTTCCGCTTTCCGACGCTCGAAGACGGCCCAAGAGGCCTCCAAGAGCGCCCCAGAACGGCCCAAGAGGTTTCCAAGAGCGCCCCAAGACAGCCCAAGAGGGCCCCAAGACGACCCAAGAGACGCTCAAGACGGCCCACGAGGGCCGAAGAAGGCACAAAAGAACAATGTTGGACGCTCCGAGGGCCTTCGATGTTTCTCTGTTGGGGAGAGTCGTCGTAGGATCGACGATTGCCGACCGAGGGCATGGAGAATCGAGCGAAAGAGGAGGAGAAGGTGGAAGAGGAGGAGGAGAAGGAGCAGGAGGAGGAGGAGGAGGAGGGGCCTGGCGCTGCACTGCGAGATGTGGTTGTGGAAAGCCAAGCTGGAGCCCGACGCCATCATGATTGCCTTTCGGCCCTGCAGCCGCACCCCCCCGCGCTTGCCTAGAGACCCCTCGCCACGTCGAGCTGATGTCGTGGACGGAGTCCACAGGTCTGCCCTAGTCAGCTACAGCTCTGGGATCAGCGCGTGCGGGAAGGGCGAGCAGTGGCAGCGGGCTCTGGCGCTGCTCAGCGAGATACGGGTGGCGAGGATCGAGCCCAACGTCATCTGTCTCATAATTCTAGGCGAAGCGCAGGTGATACGCAAAAGCATTGCCATCTCACGGAGTTCTGAATCCAGCCCAGGAGACTTCTACGAGGCCTCAAGCCGCAGAGCCCCACATCAGTGCCAAGAGCGAGCCACGTGGCTCCCAAGATATCCCTATGCGTCGATCAGATGGCCCTCAGGTGGCCCAAAGAGACGCCCAGGTCGTCCGCGGAGAGCTCAGTGGATGCGCGAATCGTCGGAGCCCGCAGTGCTTCCACGTACGCCTGGCGTCCGTCCTTCGCGAGGCGCCACCCAGATCGCCCCAGGCAGCCCCGCATGGCCTCCAAGACGAGCTGGCCCCAGCACGCCTCCGAGACGGCCGCACGCCCCGATCTGCCACCGCCGCCCGCCCCCAAGACCGCCCGCAGACCCTCGCGGGGCGAGGCAGCGGCAGCCGCCGACGGCACCGAGCCCCCCCGCGTGCAGCGGCGCGCACGCACCCGCAAGCGCGCCGTCCTGCAACGGCTGGGCGCCGCAGGCGGCAGCCGGCGTCCGCAGGCAGCGCCAGGCAGCGGCAGGAGGCGGCGACGGAGTCAAGAAGGCCAGCCTGGCATCGCTCGGACGTGTGAATTTTTCCCTCGGCGAGGACCATCGAGGAGCATCCTTGATCATTTGACGAAAAAGCCACGCACGAAACCGAAAATTGTCCCGGCAAAGCAACCTAGCAGCGATGTGTAGAAGCATATCTGGAAGAATTGCCCTTGAGATTCAAGTAGGAGTCCTGGTGTAGAATTCTGGTGTCCTCGCAGTCGCTCGTCCTCCTGCTCGTCCTCGCATGTAGGAGTCTTCGTCCTCCTCCTCCTCCTGCTCGTCCTACTTCTCCTGCTCCTCCTCCTCCTCGTGCTCGTCCTCGTCCTCCTCGTCTTGCTCGTCCTCCTCCTCCTCGTGCTCTTGCCCCTGCTCCTCCTACAGTTGGTTCCGGGCATTGGAAATGTGGCCCGGGAATGGAGTTCTGGGAACTCGAAGAGCACGAAGTGGCCTACAGTTGGCTCCGGGCGTTGAAAATGTGGCCCGGGAATGGTGGAGTTCTGGGAACTCGAAGAACACGAAGTGGCAGTTGGCTCCGGGCATTCAAAATGTGGCCCGGGAATGGAGTTCTGGGAACTCGAAGAGCACGAAGTGGCCTACAGTTGGCTCCGGGCGTTGAAAATGTGGCCCGGGAATGGAGTTCTGGGAACTCGAAGAGCACGAAGTGGCCTACAGTTGGCTCCGGGCAGTTAGAACGTGGCCCGGGAATGGAGTTCTGGGAACTCGAAGAGCACGAAGTGGCCTACTGTTTGCTTACAAGCGACTTCCGCGGGTTCTCCCCGGCACCCTCCCAGACCCCCCTTGGGGAGTCAAGATGCTTTCTTTTGACACTGCTAGAAACCTATCAGTCTTCCCAGACCCCCGACGTAATGATGTTTTCATTACGTCGACCCCCAGAGGTCCCGACCCTTTCCCCATGACCGGCTTTGCATCCTGAGTCGTTTTTTGACGCTCCCGAGGCCCGGTGAGGGCCCCAGGAGGCCGGCCGTCTTTGAGTTTGGATCCGCCGTACTCTGGTTGATTCTCCGAATTCGAACTGTGTCGGGAATGCACCCCAAAACGATGAGAGAAAAGAAGGCGGACATGTCCGCCTCTGTTCAAAACAAGGAGCGGGCATTCCCGCAAGCAAATGGCGGACACAGAGACGGCAGAGTTGGGCGGAAGTCGATACCAAAGGAGCTCGAACAGCAGGACGACAGTGTCCGCCCCGCTCGCGAAGTCGCCCCACAGCACGGCGTAGCCGAAGTCATGGGCCGTCAGGACTCGACTCGGGCTGAGGAGCCGCTAAAACAGGGCTAGGATCGGGATAAATCGCTCCAGAGCGTTCCGGAGCGCTCTCAGAGCGTTCCGGAACGCTCTGGAGCGGCCGCGGCGCCCAATACATCCTCCAAACCCGCCGATTCTCAGAGATTTCGAGTTATCCCGATCCGATTTTGTCCCGATCTTCGCGTCGTTTTAGCCGCTCCCGTTGAGGAGGTCCAGCCCTGCGGGGAAACGCGACGTGGAAGCACGCGGCGCCAGAGGTCCAGGGCGGGGGCCTGGCCGCCGGGGCCGGGCGGCTCGCGCACGAAAGAGGAGCAGGGGAGGAGGAGGAGGAGGAGGAGGAGGAGGAGGAGGAGGAGGAGGAGGAGGAGGGGCAAGGAGGGGCAAGGAGGAAGAGCAGGAGAAGGAGGAGGAGGACGACGACGACGTGGAGAATGGCCCTGTTGGCTTTCCCAGTCCCCGGGCGTCAGCGCTTGCCCCCGGGCCTCCCCGTCCCGCGAAGCGGAGCGACACGCAATTCCACCCGCAAGGCACGGCGTGTCGCTGGGGCCGCCGCGGCGGCACGCTGTCGAACAGTTCCCGACCGAAGGCTTTGGAGAGCCAGGGGCCTGCCGCGGATCTTGATCCACGGTTCTCCCCGGTCAGCTACTGCGCCGGGATCAGCGCGTGCGAGAAGGGTCAGCAGTGGCAGCAGGCTCTGGCGCTCCTGGGCGAGATGCGGGAGGCGAGGCTGGAGCCCAACATCATGTACACAGTCGGGGCCCTGAGGAAGGAACCCTTTTCGTTGGGGAGGGGCTCCGCGTTCCTTGATTGTGTCGCAGCTTGCCCTGGATTTCCCTTAGGTTCTCGATACGAAATCGAAGGTCAACTTATGGAAAAAATGGGCCTCGTTCCTTCTTTAGGGTTCCTTAGGTCAGCGCCCCGACTGTATAGCATGTACACACTGGATCGCGTGCTGGGGACAGCCATAGCCTTGGGGGGGGGGGCCCATCTGTTCTGCGCCGGGGGGCCCTCCGCCCTGGGGTGCTCCTCTTCGCGGCGGCAGAGCACGGGTGTGCGAGCGGGGCAGCTTGCTTTCAAGCAGTGGCGAGGCGCCCCGGCGTGCCTGTAGGCCTACCAAACACAGGTTCTGAGGACCTCGTGTGGTTTCCACGACATTGTCTTAGGCCATTTCTGGCTGGGACTGCCTTCCTATAGCACACCGGGTTCACTTTCAAAGAGCACCACTGCTTCTGTTCTTAGAACATTTTTGGGGTTCTAAGACTATGTCGTGGTAGGACTATAGGAATGCCGGGACGGTCGGTCCCTGCTCAATGTTTCCCTAGGCTCGGCCTCGAGCGGCGTTGCCTCGGCGGCTCCGCTCGGGGGGGCGACGCCGTCCTCGGCGCCCAGACGCCTCCTGGCTCGCTTTCACCTTAATCTGGCAGTGCCTGACATTTCCTCGCAGTGCCCCGACGCGCCTGCAAGATAGCATGGCCCCCATGCAGTCCCAGGTAGGTCCCAGGGCGTTCCACTATGCTCAGGACTGCCCCAGGATGGCCCCAGAAGGCTGGCGGCGGGCCAGTGACGTCCTTAGAGGTTCCCTGGAGGGCCCGCGAGGGCCTCCCACCAACACGGACCCGGCGTGCCCCAGGACCACCCCCAGATCCAGCAGCAATAGCAGAGCCAGCAGAGACGCCATGAGCAGTGCGCAGCAGCACACATCCGCAGAGGTCAGCATTCGCAAGCAGCCGCGGCCTGCACCAGCAAGCGGCATTGCCGACCAGCAACAACGCAGCAGCAACAGCACGCGTTCGTATCACCTGCGCCAAGCAACACGCATCAGCAGCAACAGCCAGCGCCAAGCAACATCAATCAGCAGCACCAAACCGCAGCAAGCAGGCGCCAGCACCAGTCAACTGTTGGCAGCAGCAGAAACGAGAAGCAGCAAACGCCACCAAGTAGCAGCACGCAACACAGCAATAGCAAATCCGCAGCAGGTGGGTGCACGAATGAAGCAAGCACCCAAGAAATCAGGCCAGCAGGCCAGCATAGAAGCAGGCAGGCATGTAAACGCTCCTTCGGACACGCATGCCAGCAGCCGCGCAAGCGGAAATGACGGCAAGCAGTTTCAGCCTCCGCCGACAGGCAGCAGCGGCAAGAAGCAGTGAGTGGCGGAAGCACGTATCCATAGCACCAGCGTTGAGCAGGAAACAGCAACCAGCCGAAGCAAGCAGTCGCCTGCACCAGCATACAGGCAGTTGCAGCAGAAACTCCAGACGGCGGCAGCTTGCACCAAACAGGACCGCAGGACCCGGCGTCAGCGGGCGGCAAGTCGGCGGCGGCAGGCGGCAGCGAGCGGGCAAGCAAGCGACGGAGCAGCCAAGCTCATGATGCTCCAACCTACTTTAGCCTTGACCGCCAGAGATAATCTCGAGCGCCAGAAAACGAGTACCGAGACTCGAGGGTTTTCACGTGTCGGGCCCTGGGAGACACTCGCCCGACACTGCTTCGACACTCTTTCGACACCCTTTCGGCACTTTCCCGGGTGCTCGAATTTCTTTCTGGGATGTGGTCTTTAAGTGAGATGGGAACGACGTAACCTTCGGGCAGAGAGCTGTCAGGCCAGCAGGGCAGCAGCCCATGCGCGCAGCACAGCCTGCGGGCAGGCACGCAGCACCGCGACCCTCGCCTCTGCATGCGAGCAGGCTGCCGTGGACGTGCGTCCACAGGCCAGAGGCCGCATACGCTCAACATGGGCTCCCAGATCCCTCCCTGGGTTCATCCAGTGCAGGGAAGAGGAGTAGGGAGGAGGAGGAGGAGGAGGAGGAGGAGGAGGAGGAGGAGGAGGAGGGACAAGGAGAGAAAGGAGGAGGAGGAGGAGGAGGAGGAGGAGGAGGAGGAGGAGGAGGAGGAAAGGGAGGGGAAGGAGGAGGAGGCGGAGGAGGAGGAGGAGGAGGAGGGAAAGGGAGGGGAAGGAGGAGGAGGAGGAGGAGGAGGAGGAGGAGGAGGAGGAGGAGCAGGAGCAGGAGCAGGAGCAGGAGCAGGAGCAGGAGGAGCAGGAGGAGCAGGAGGAGCAGGAGGAGCAGGAGCAGCTCTCCACACAGGGATCCGTTTTCTGACGGCCCCCCGGGGCCCGCCGGCGGCCCCGGGGGCGACCGAGCAAGGCACGAGGTCCTCCCCGAGCCCAGCGCCCCGAGCCTGCCCGTTTTTTTGTCCAGAGGCCCTCTTGGGCCCCCCCGTGGGCCAGCGCGTGCCTTTCTCGGGAGCCGCTTGGGGAGCTCTCTGGGCCGTCTTGGGGCCTTCCGGGGTAGCTCCTTCTGGGAGCTAGAGAAGGGGGGGGGGGGGGGGGCGGGGGCGGGGGGGCCCCTCCCCCCCTAATTCGGTGCAGGTGGCCTGTCCTGGGCACGGCGCGTCGGCGCCCGCTCGCTCGGTCAGCGCCCGCCGGACAACAAAAACGTTAGAAGGGGTTGTTGGAGAACTCCAAGGCCCCCGGGCAGGCATGCATCCTCGCAGCCAGCGGCCTGCTTGACCTCGCAGCGCGAGCGTTTTCCTACTCGTCCCCAATACGCGTGGCCTCTTGGGCGGATGTGGGCGCAATGGCGAGCCCGAGCCCCTCGGCGCCGCCACCGAAGCCTGCAGCGCCTGCAGGGCGTCGCCGGTGCAGCAGCGCCACCAGCATCCCTGAGACCCGAAATAATGAGCGGACAAAAATGCAACATCGTGAAAAAATCGTGTCCAGAGCCTTAGACTTCATCTGTCTGCGTCATTTTCGAGCCAGGTCGATCTGAGAGGGGCCCAGGGCCGGGAAGAGCGAAAACGCCCGGCTCGAAAAAAACGGAGGCGCAAGGATCTCAGGCATCGGCGCCTCCCCAGACAGCCGACGCGCTGACAAAAAACAAAAAAAAGCGGCGGTGTTGTTCCTGCAGCGGCCGCGGGCGGGGCCAGGCGCGTGCCAGGCGTGCCCGTGGCGGCAGCAGGCCCTGCGTGGCGGCCTCGGGCGGGGGGCGCCAGCGGGCGCCAGCGGCGCCCGCGCACTTCCGCGGCGGACGCCCGCGCGTGCGAGGCGGGCGGGGGCTTTCACGCTGTCCTGGACGGTCCACGGGCCACTTAGATGTTCGTTTTGGGGACCTTCCTGGAGCCCACCTAACGGATTTGTTCGACCCCAGTTCGACTCAAGTTCGATTCAAGTTCGACTCAAGTTCGACTCAAATTCGATTCAGGTTCGACTCAGGTTCGACCTAGATCGACGGACGTTCGACGCAGCTTCGACGCACGAGTGGGGCGAGTGGCTCCAGGAAGGTCCCCAGAACGAACATCCAAGGCCACCCCCAGTCTACACTGTCGTGCCGTCTCCCGCGCTCGCGGGGATAGGGAGGGCGGCGGAATCGTCGCGGCAAGAACGGCTTCTTGGGGGGCCAGTGCAAACGTGCTTGCGGCAGCGACAAGCAACGCCGCGGTCAGCCGCTCACAGCCCCGCTCTCTGCTCTCCCTCCCTCTCCACCTTCGCCCAGAGGAGCCCTTCAAACCCCACGGTTCCGAGGAGCTGCTCGGGCCCAGCGAGCTGTTATGTTTACGGTTTCGCCGGCTGCATCCTTGTACTTCGATGGTGTTGATCCACCCCACGGGTCACCCCTAGTCTTCTTTTATACTACAGTGCCGGAATCAGCGCGTGCGAAAAGACGGCCGGGTGGCATCGGCCGGCCTCGGCCTGGCTCGGCCCGGCTCGGCCCGCTGCGGGCAGGCGCTCCGAGCCGCCCCCGGGGGCCCCCAAGAGGACCCGAAGACGGCCGAAGACCGTCCAAGTAGACCCCGAGCGTTCGAAGACGCCCCAGACAAACGCCCGACGGCCCCAAACTGGGCTGCAGAGAGGGCCTCAGGAGAGCCCGAACAAGGAAAAATCGTCCCAATCCTGCGGAGGAAGTGCATTTTTGGAGTTCCCGTGCTTATCGTCGTCGAAGCGTCCAAGACGGCCACGCAGGCCCTCAAGATCGTCCCACGACGCCTCAAGAGGCTGCCAGGAGGGCCCCAAGACGGCACAAGACTGCGCCAGGACGGCTCCTCAGGCGCCCATGGCGGCCCCAAGAGGGGGCCAGGACAGGGTGGGAGCGCTCCAGAGGGGCCCCAAGAGGGGGCCATGACGCATGTACTTCGGTGCCCATCTCGCAAGTCCAAGAAGCATATCAAATACATGCAGTTTGGGGCCTTTGGGGGGCCCCGTGGGGGCGCTCTTGCGGCTCTCTTGGGGTCTTCGGGCCCCTCCAAGACAGGGCCAGGTGCATTCTGCCACAGAAAGGCCTATCGTGGCAGAGTGGTGGGCCCGCGCCCGGCGGCGTCCTGGGGCCCTCTTGGAGCCCTCTTGGGGCCCGCTTGGGGCCCTCTGGAGGCCCTCTTCGTGCCTTCTGGCACGACGGCCCCAAGACGGTCCCGACACTGCCCCAGGGACGCCTGATTTATCCAATTTTGATGGGCTGTTCACCCACGGCGTGCGAGTCCCAGGGTTACCACATCGTGGATTGAACCCACGGGTCCACACTAGTCGGCCACAGTGCTGGGATCAGCGCGTGCGAGAAGGGAGGTCGGTGGCAGCGGGCTCTGTCGCTTGCCAATGAGGCGTGGGAGGCGAAGTTCGAACACCACGTTATCAGCTACAGCGCTCTGGTCAGTGCGTGCGCGAAAGGCGGGCAGTGGCAGCGGGCCCTGTTGCTGCTCAGCGAGATGCGGGAGGCGAAGGTAAGGCCCAACGTTGTCAGCTACAGCGCTGGAGTCAGCGCGTGTGAGAAGGGTGGGCAGTGGCAGCAGGCGATGTCATTGCTGGCTGAGTTCGGGAAAGCAAGATTGGAGCAGGATGTAATCACTTATAGTGGTTCGATCTGCATGTGCGAGCAGGCTGGTGAATGGCAGCAGACGCTGTCATTGTTTAGCGACTTGTGGGCGGCGAGCAGACTATGGTGAGGGCAGTAGCTTGATTGCGGTACAACGAGGTGTCGATCGCATTCCAAAAGGTGTCATGAGGGACTGGTGCCATCGCTGTGCGAGATCTGTCAGAGCTGAACGTCTTCAGCAAGCGCCGCGCAAGGCGACCCACTGGCACGCGGGAGGCGAAGCCGGTGCCCGGCGTGACCCCTATTACATTGCTGGATGCATTGTGGCCTCGCAGGGCGAGACGAGGCGGCAGGCTGTGATGCCCCAACGCCATCGGTCATAAGCATCATCGTCATCATCACCATCGCCATCGCTATCACCGTCACCACTATCATCATCCTCATCGTATTCCTCATCATCGTCATCATCGTCCTGATTGTCAACACCATCGTCCTTGTTTCCATCGTCATGATCATCGTCGTCGTCGCCATCACCGTCACCATCGTCGTCATCATCATCATCATCATCATCGTCATCCTCATCATCATCATCATCATCATCATCATCCTCATCATCATGATGATTATCATCAGCATCATCATCAGCAACATCATCATCAGCATGATGATTAACAACAGCATCATCATCAGCAACATCTTCATCATCAGCAGCATCAGCATCATCAGCATCATCATCATCATCATCATCATCATCATCATCATCAGCATCATCATCATCATCATCATCAGCCTCATCCTCATCCTCCTCCTCTTCCTCCTCCTCCTCCTCCTCACCAACATCGTCGTCACCAGCAGCATCATCATCATTTATCATCATCATCAGCAGCAGCAGCAGCAGCATCATCATCATCATAATCATCAGTATCATCATCGCCATCATCGTCATCATCATCACCATCATCATCACCATCATCACTACCACAACTCAGGGCACAGTGCGTACGAGAAGGGCCTGGGGCCAGTTAAGCTAGAAGGCGCCCCTGGAGCAGCCCCCAGGGCCCGGCATGGCTCTGGGGCTCCCCACGGCTTTCCCAGACGGCCCCCCAATGGGGCTACATCGGAGGACCTTCCGACGGCAAGACGGGCTCCCAAACTTGCCCCCCGACGCCCGCAGATCGCGCCAAGCCTACACTGCCCTGGAAAAATAGCGCGCTGGAATCGTCGATTCGTCTGTTTGCGTCGCCTTCGTTTTTTCGTAGTTGTTGGCCTCCAGGGAGCGTTTCCAGGTCCTCGGAAAGTCAGAAGCGGAACAGGGATGAACACTTCCCCCAGGGAAGTCCCGCAGGCAGTTTTTGACACGGCCTGCACACGTTGCAATGGTTTTCCAGGGAAGTGTAAGCGGCTCCACTGTGTCTCCGCGCGGGGCTGCCTGGCGGCAACAATCATGCCACCCTGTCTTGTGTTGGTGTGTTTTCGACGCCTCCACTCTTCGGTTTCCGATGTAGCTCTGACTCAGCCTCGGGACGCTTCGGGGAGCGGCCGAGAGGCCCATAATGTCCCCAGGAAGGCTCGAAAGGCCCTCAACATGCCTCAGATGGCCTTGGCTCGCTTCCGGCTGGTCCAAAGACAGCCCCCAGACGGTCCAAGCTTGCACCAAGACGGCCCCTACAGCTCCCAAGAGCGTGTTTCTTTATTGCTTGGGGCATAATGGGCATTCTAGCCCCTGGAAGCCCTTGGGCACTAGCCCCTCCCCGTCCCCCTGCGGCACTGCCGCCGTGCGCACGGCGGGGGGAGGCGTTACATCATCCCCCCCCTGGCCCCTCCCCCCCCCCCCCCCCCCCCCCATAATGCCCATCATCGCCGAAAATAAAGACGCGCGCTCTTGGCTCGCTTCCGGCTGGTCCAAAGACAGCCCCCAGACGGTCCAAGCTTGCACCAAGAGGGCCCCTACAGCTCCCAAGCGGCCCCCAGAGCCCCTGGAGGGCCCCTTGAGGCACCAGGCCCCCCCACCTCGACGGCCACGAGAAGCTGCGAGGGAAAGGCGTGCCCCGATGCCAGCAGCAGCAGGGCCAGCCGCAGGGGCGGCGAGCAGCAAGGCAGAACCAGCAGGCGGAGCCAGCAAGCAGCAGCACCATCCGGCAGCAGCAAGAGGCAGCAGCAGGCAGCATCGCGCGGAAGCAGTGCACGACCGCAGCTGGAAGCTGCAGCAGCATCAGCAACTGACAGCTGCAGGAGCAACAGGCAGCAGCGGCAATCCGCGCCAGCAGCAGCAGCAGCAGCAGCAGCAGCAGCAGCAGCAGCAGCAGCAGCAGCAGGGGCAGAGCAGAGCCTGGAGTGGCAGAGCCCGCGGCACAGGCAACAGCAGCAGCAGCAGCAACAAGCAGAGCAGTGAGGAGCAACAGGGCAAACAGCAGCAGGAAGCGGCAGAAGCAAGCAGTGGGAAATCGCAGCGAGCAGCAGGAGACGCAGTGGACAGCAGTCAGTCATAAAACAACCGCATGTGGCCGCTGTAAACAGGCTCCGCCAGCAGCAAACATCAAGTAACCGCAGCGGCCGCTGTTGTGGACACCACCGCGGGTCCACGCTAGTCACCTACAACGCTGGGATCAACGCTTGCAAAAAGAGGTGCAATGGCAGCGGACTTTGGCGCTGCTCGGCGAGATGTGTGAGGCGAAGCTGGAGCACAACGTCGCCAGCTACAGCGCTCAAATCAGCGCTTGCGAGACGGGAGAGCCGTGGCAGATGGCATCGTCGATGTTCAGCGAGATGTGGGAGGCGAAGCTTGAGCCTGAAGTCACCACCTACAGCCGTGAGAGCAGCGCCCGTGAGGAGAGCGAGCAGTGCCGGCGGGCTCTGGCGCTGCTTCACGCGATGTGGGAGGCGACGCTGACGCTAATCGCGCTGGGATCAGCGCTTGCGAGATGGGCGACAGCAGTGGCAGCGGGCTATGGCGCTGCACGGCGAGGAAGGGGAGGGCCCCTGCCCCCAGCCCGGGCGAGACGGCCGGGCGGAGTCCCGACGTGCCGTCGCTGTGCCAGGAAGGCGGGGGAGCGAAGCAGCCGCGGCGGCGTCACCCGCGCCGTGTGTGCTCGAAGGGCGGGGCCCCGTGGCCGGCGCCGCCGCCGGTGCCCGAGGAGGGTCGGGGAAGCGGCGCTGGAGGCGCGGCCCGTCGGCTGCACTGCTGGCCGCGGCGCCTGCGAGGAGGGCGGGGATCGCCTCTGCAGAACTCAGAGGAGGAGAAAGGGTACCCCTACCCCTGCCCTTTCCACGCTTCCCCCCTTGTTGGGCCTCCCCTCGTCGCCGCCGCCGGATTCGCCTCGAGATATCTTGGTCAGAACGCACCTCGGGAGAGGTCCGGGGAGCAGCGGCATCCAAGCGAGCACCACGAGCTGCATGAGCCCCCCGCGAGCCCCACGAGCTCCAAGAGGGCGCCGAGATGCCACCACGGTGGCTCCCAGACAGCCTCCGAGAGGGCCCGAGGCGGCCATACGTTCGGGAGCTTTGGCTCAGCGCGTCGCGCCGCCGGTTCTGGCCCACCGCGCTTCGGCGCGACAGGCCAAGTATCCACATCCCCGTCCCCGAGCGTCAGGGTCCCGAGCGGCTCCCGGTCCCCAACCGTCAACGTCCCGAGCTGTTCCCAGCCTCCCATGCCGCGGAGCGGAGCGACACACACGATCCGCTTGCAAGGCACAGCGTGTCGCCCGGGCCCCCGCGGCACGGCAAGCCAAAGTTCCCGGCGGAGGCCTCCGATAGGGCCCGAGGCGGCCAGAGCTGGCTCCAAGAGTCGGGATGCATCGAGCGGCTGCAAGAGACCCCAAAGAGGGCCGCATAGGCTCCAAGAGGCCGCCCAGGAAGCCGAAGACACCCAGAAGCCGAATGGTAGGTTACTTCTCAGTTTGCCCGGCTTCCAGGCGGCTCGCTTTTAGCCCCCCAGAAGCTCCTCGGGAGTTTCTCCTCGCTCCTCGCTCCCTCCTCCTCCTCCTCCTCCTCCTCCTCCTCCTCCTCCTCCTCCTCCTCCTCCTCCTCCTCGCAGAGCGCTCCTCGCTCCATGCTCCTCTCCATTGCATCTCCACTTTCGCTAATCTGCCTGCCCCCTGGATACATCCTTGCTCGGCGACCACGACGACGACGGCGGCGACGACGGCAGCGGCGTCGGCGATGACGACCTACGACGACGACGACCCAGGATCGACGATCGATGACGACCACGACGACGACCACGACGACCTCGACGACACGGCGACGACCACGACGAGCTCGACGAGGACGACCTCGACGACGGCAGCGGCGGCGGCGGCGGCGGCGGCCCCCGCCAGGCGCCGACGTGGGCTCCAGCGCTTCCCGCGCAGCGCACGGCCCCTGGGGCGGCACCGGCTGGTGCTGCGGCGTACCGTCTCTGGAACACAGCCAGGAGCCGCGTCCCCCTCCGCGCGGCGGGCCACGTCGGCGCACGTCGCTGGCGAGGTCCTCCACGACGACGACGACGACGACGACGACGACGACGACGACGACGACGACGACGACGACGACGACGACGACGGGAGAGCGGCCCTGCTGCGGCCGCCGTAGGGCCGCCGAACCCTCCTTCTCCTACTCGTCCTCCTCCTCCTTTCTACACTCGCCTCCTCCTCCTCCTCCTCCCCCTCCTCCTCCGCCTCCTCCTCCTCCTCCCCCTCCGCCTCCTCCTCCTCCTCCTCCTCCTCCTCCTCCTCCTCCTCCTCCTCCACCTGTACGCTCGTCTCCTCCTCCTCCTCCCCCGCTCCTCCTCCTCCTCCTCCTCCTCCTCCTCCCTACCTCCCTCCTCCTCCTCCTCCTCCATCCTCCTCCTCCTCCTCCTCCTCCTCCTCCTCCTCCTCCTCCTCCTCCTCCTCCTCCTCCTCCTCCTCCTCCCCCTCCCCCTCCCCCTCCCCCTCCCCCTCCGCCTCCCCCTCCTCCGCCCCTTGGGGTGCCGGAGGCGGGGGGTGGAGTGCCTCGGAGGGCGGCCGGCGGAGAGTGCCGCCGAAGGGGCGGCCGAAGCCTGAGAGCCTGGCGCCCCGGCCCTTGTTGTAGCTTTATGATGTTCCAACCTCGACCAGACGTAAGAGTGACCTTTCGCCGGAGTGACCTCTGATGCGGGCACAGATGGGCCCC